ACCGAGAGGTAGAAAGGGGTCGGAGGGTGCCCAATGACGTCAGATTCGCACGAGCACAACCTTACACAGATGCGTCGATAACCTACCCTACCAGATGCTGCGTTCTGTTTTCTCATCGACTCTTCGGAGTTATATAATGTACATTTCTCGCAGAAAATCTATTTCCTGCAGCCTATGTTCGTTCGGATCTGTTCATCTTCGCGCATAAATAAGTCCATAAGTTCCAGAAAATCTGCCTCGTATGCGGTGAACAGGTGACATATGTAATTCTTTTGGTGTTTCACAAAAATTTATGCGATCTATATCACAGAGTGAGGACGAGATTAAATTTCAAAAAGGAGAACTGCGGAGAGAAGAAAAAGTCTCACGACAACTTTGAGATTAAAAGATGAGGTAGACTATAAAAGAAGACATAAAGAAGCGGGAAGATATTGTAATATTTTTCAATAAAGAACTGAAATCGATACATTTGCAATACCGAAAAAAGACCGAATATTAATAAAATGTCAAAAACGCTCGAATTAAAACGCAAGTCGGAATCCTGGCGGATTTACAGGAAAAGGTCAAAATTACACGTAATGTGCGTAAGCAACGTTTATAGGTCGGTATTATTCTGACGTGTATAATAAATTAATTAGAGCGCATTAATTCCTTTTTAAATGTACTTCTGCTTGCGGGCAGAAAAGGAATATACGCATTATTATACAGTAAATATAGTTATAAACATAGACGATTTATGTGCAGTGTACGCAGTTGAGATTAATTTCAAGCAAAATATGTCTGCACGCGTAACGTACAAAATATTTAACATTTAAAAATGTATCACGGACGAATTTTATTTATTATTTTACTATCACACACGCTAAATTCTTAAAAATGCTTCCCTAACTCAGTTATAAATTGATATTTCAAACGACGTATGCAAAAGAAGTTTATTTTTTGTGTTTTTTAATTTGAACAAATTTATGTGCGATTGATCGGACGGTGATGCTTCGTAGAAGATTTTCATGTATATTCGGGTGAAAGTTCAGCAGCGCGGAAGAAGTTTGCACACGCAGAAGGAACGAGAAAGGAATGAGTTGCTTGCTTTACAGACATTGACAAATGGATCCGCCGGTCCATCATCTCATCCCACTGCCAAATGTATCTTGCAGCATACGATCAGATGGATGTCCGTTCATATCGAGCGCGTTCTATTTCCAAGCTTTTCGACGTTATCTGATCCTGTTTGCAAACACAGCTCGAACCTACTATCACGCACGTTATTTATTGTCGTCTCTAATACACAAAAATACTCTAAATCTTTTACATGAATGCGCGCATTATTATGTCTTTGCTTGTGTACGCGGGACATTGAACAATTATCCGAAAAAAAGACGATGATACGCGCGCATCTCCCTCGGCGATGAACAATTCTGCGACATTAACAAACGACCGAACGAATTCTCAAAATATCCCGATTTAGACTCTGAAGACGTAAAACTCTTTCAAAAGACTTTGTGAGAAACGTTTTTATAAAAACGTCAATAATATAATGTAAGAATATTTGTAGCAAAAGTACATTTGTGGCATATTTAATAATATGATACGAATATTAAAAGTTTTCACGACTTTGCGATTTCCCGACTCTCTCTCTTTCTCTCACAGTAACGGTTCGATGCTGAAATTAGCAATTAAATTGTACCGAAAACTAATATACATAACCGACTCGTAACCTAACCCAACCTAACCTAACCAGCCTCATTGCTGATGATATATTGCATCCGGCGATCGGCAGCGCATAAAGTTGCTTTTTCGTTCATAACTCGGTTCTCGTTCGCTTGCTTAGCATGAATAATTTATAACCGATCTTCGGACAAACGCTTGAATGTTTGGCAAAGCAAGATTAGCCCCGGGATTGAGAACGAAAAAGAGAGAGAAATGCGAAAAGTCAGGACGCGCGATTGATATATAGCGAGGAAAGAAGATGGGGCCGACACAACGTCTCGTAGTCGATAACTTCTTAATTGCGAGAAGAGACTCTTATAAAAGCCTCGAGACTTCCATCTCTCAAAGACATCAGCAGCCACTCAATGTAGTCGGCGATGTCTCCTGGCAAAGATGCCCGCCGGTTATTTGACATTGGCTTGAAAATAAATTGCACAGAATCGCTGCTAATGTAAGTGCTGGTGAACGAGGTCGGAACAAAAGTCAGTGTTTGAGAAATGTTTATTTCTTGAACTTTTATCTGGGAAAATTAAAAGTGCATTTCTTATACACACTTATTAGCATATATACTGAAGTACGTAAATATCGACCTAAATAAGTTGCGGAAAATAAAATGCAAGAATTTTTAGAAAAAATTAGCAAGATGATTTTTTGTCATTTCTTAATGGCAGGAAAATTGCGACAAGCAACAGCTAAAAAAAAAAGAACATAGCAAGAAAAAAGCAAAAATAAAGCGAAGAAAGTGGATAAGAGAACGTAAATGAGTAAGAAGATACGTCGGCTGAGTTCAGAAGAAATCGCGGGGGTCAAGAGAGCTCTTAGAAATCTACGAGATTGAAATTCGAGCCGTTTTCGTACGCTCGGGGGCAATCTTCCTTATTTACGAGACTTTCAATTACACCTTTGCTCTCGAGCACATTCGTTTAATTGAAATTCTCGAGTAAACAGAATGTAATAGCGTAGATCTCGATATATTTTTGATTAAATATATTTTTATGTACATAATCCAAGCATTATATTCGGAGCGTTATATTACTTTTGTACTTTACTTAAAAGTGATGAAATCGATATGTAGACTCTTGAGTTCGAGATAGCGTTCGAGAGCAATAGCAAGAAAAATGGATTTCTACGAGGCACAAGAGAGAACTTTTCCGCACGATCTAAAGAATGTGCAAGCTTCTGAAAACATTGTCTACAGAGAGAGAGAGAGAGAGAGAGAGAGAGAGAGAGAGAGAGAAAGGAGAGCAACGTTTTTGGAACAATGAAGCATAAAACGCGTAACTATGACGTTGACAATTTTTTGACGATCTTCCCGAACAGATCCGTGAAAGAGAAAATACAAACGCAAAACTTTTATCTCTTTCTTATTGTCGCTAAGATCAAGTGTTTTGAAGAATGTTTTACAGATATTTCAGGCGATCAAAAATGTCATCCAAAAGATACTTTTCTTTTTTTTGTCACAAGTGACGAGAAGAAAATTACGATTGCGCAATTCAAAATTAATTAAAGAAACAGCAGCATCGTCTTTCTTTGTCTAATACAGTTTAATTTTTCAGAAAATTTTATGTATATTTGTATATATATATATAATTATATATGTAAGAAGAGAGAGAGAGAGAGAGAGAGAGAGAGAGAAGACAATGTTTTAAATAATAATTTTGCGGAAATGAGAAGTTTGATGATGCGCTAAAAAACAATCTATCTATATTTTCGCGCGTACATCTACACGATATCATCTACAGCGTATTATTCGCACTTGTTCCCAGGGTAGATATCTGTGTCTTCAATCGATACGCTTAACCTCTGACCTATTATCATAGTTCAGTAGAAGTTCTTCGTGAGATATTGCAAGACTTCAGACTGCGATTGCAACGAATCGTTTGATAAGATCGTTTTAGATATGCGCATATAGGTATAGGCAATTAAAGATGCTTCGATTAGACTAAGTTTTACAATTTTATCACATTCTGTAATCTTAATTACTAATACTTATTATTTCTTATATAATTATAATTTATTGTATTTTAATGTAATCCGATTTATATACAAAAAAAGCATCAAAGTAAAAATAATTAATGCAATCGACCGAACGTGCGTAACAACAAGAAGATTTATATCAAGTTGCTGAGATGTTCAAAGCTTATTTTACTATCATTAGTCGGAAACGGCATGCTGTTTCGCATAAACAAGCGAGTATAATCTCGAAATATGGCAATTGCGGCTTTCATGACTAAATAGCACTTGTGCTTTTTGCAAAGTAGACTGAGTATAAACTAGACTACGTTTATTTCTTTGATTTATAATTGATTACAAAATCCCGTGAACCTAATCGCGGAGACACACTGTAGATCGTATAGTTCACACTTGAAATCTTGGTCAGTGGAATAGAACGCAGCGAGCGCATGCACGATAGTGATTAGTTTAATTCGTGCAACACTTTACAAGCTCGCAACAACACTTGCTTTCTCTGTAGAACTATGCGCGATATTAATGCACGATAAAGTAGATCGTGTCTTGAACGTTTCTCTACCTTTCTCACGTGTACACCGATTGTAGTAAGTAAGGTAAAATATTGTTTTATTTCTGTTTAGTTCATTAATATATATAGTTGTATACATATAATATTATATACGTGTCTATATTGTCACTAAAAATTAAGAAGAAAAACTTATTTTGTGTTACGACCCAAATGAGTAAAGATTGCATGCATGTGCGCTTTTATCTCTCTCTTCCGATTGAAGCGCTCGTCGATTTACACGACTCGATCTGCAAATATCGCGAAGATATTGCGTGATTTTCAGTCAAGATTGTACGTAACTTTGCGTGATTCAAAAATCACCATCGCGAGTGCTTATGTGTGATTTTGCTGAGCCAAGCAGAAATCGTTTCCCAGATACGGAGTTGCTCTACTTAACTGAATCAGAATCGGCTGTTACCTCATTGCGCCCATTACATCCGGTTCTTGTAGACGGGTAATACAGAACCGTATTAGAGCTCTCCGCGCGGCAGACTCAAGAGCCGTTTGTTTGGCTGACCAAGACCATTCGTACTCACTGACCCGTTAAGTCAAGAACAGAAACCTACTGCATTTTATGCGTCCGGACGCTCAGCCGTATATCTATTTCTCGTGTGTCATAAAGATTGTTACATCCATTATATCCTTCCGATTTTGTCTTTCGAACGATGCGATAAAGTATCAGTTTATAGAAGCTTGTGTGATAACGTATCAAAACTATACTTGTCTCTTTTCTTTTCTTTAATTCATAAAATATAGAAAATTGTTTTTTTTGCAGGCAAACTGTCCCAGGTGGTCCCATGTTGGGAGGAGACGTGAACATCTCCGCAATATTGGATTCATTTTCCGTTAGTTACGATAAAAGAGTAAGGCCGAACTACGGAGGTGAGTAGAGATTTGCTTTTTCTCATCTTTCGATAATCGGAATCATTCAACCACCTTAACGTGGGTTTTGTATTGTGCGCAAAACTTGCGTTTCGTGTATGTTCACTTTGAATTGTTTAACTAAATATGTCGATAAACTTCGGGATGTCGCTAACTACGCATCAAGTTTTGCGTACGAAAGCTTTCCTCATTTTATTGTTTGTAATCGTTGCACTATAAAATCTAAAATAAACGTTACCTTGCAGCCAACGAAAACGAAGGAAAGAATAATATAAATATTAGTATCTTCGACAATTGGATATTAATGTAGCCGTGATTCTAATATTTCAAAGTATAAGGGAGGTGAGATATATAAACATAAGAAAACTGACCGAAATACTGACACATCGGCACGATCTACTGAATTGGCAAGCGAACAGAGAATCGACACGAACGGCTTTGTTAATTCCACTTCGTTCGCTGCAAAAAAAACGCGGAGTAAAACTTTACGTGTGCTCGGATAAAACAAAAAAGGTAACCATCGCATTTTATTTTAATCAAACATTGAGATATAACATAAATTAAAATACACACTAATAGAGTAAATAAATGTCAGAATTAAAAAACAAAAAGAATAATGACGACATTGATAAATATCGACACATAAAGTACAAGTATTCCAATTGACGTAACAATAATACGACTGCAATAAGACATCGCGAAACGTGTTGCAGGAAATATTTTTGACGCGGTTCGCCATCACTCACATTTATCGTTTACAAAACTGACTGACTCTCGAGCGTACTATCGTTACTATAAAACAATTCTGACAAGAACAGCGCGCTGTAGCATGTGTATGCGAATCGCATCCTCTTTCCTTGACAAAGATGTGTATCGCATGACCACCGAAAAAGAAATATACATCAATAAAAACCATCACAAGTTCCTGCAAAGACGTTTTATTTACAAAGACGGCGCGTAAATGCACCATACACGTACATATATAAGTTTAAACACACACAACATGTTCTTTTTTAACTTCAACTAATTTATGAAAACTCAATTACGGAGCGACTTTCATGCGGAATGGTCGCTTTAAATAAATATCAAGCGATTTTATCGATTGGGAAGCTGTACGATTTTCGCTTGAATAAACTGGATGCTTATAAAACACAAAAATATTATAGCGTTATTAAGCCAGTTTTGAATAAGCACATCAGTCAAGAATTGATTAGAAGCAATTAACGTTTTTGGCTAAACAATCCGTTTCATTTTTTGAATGCCTAGATCAAACAAGCCCAAAAAGTTACTCGGTTCGCAATGTAGTTCAGGTTGGCTCGGCTCGACTCGCGGCCACCGGATGACGATTATCGGTGCAACGCAGCGGCGGTGTGCCATTATGATTTATGTGTCCGCGATTTTGCCACGACAAAGTCGCATTTTCGGCAGATGGCCTCGTGAAGCCAGGGCGGGGCTGTAGCGCTTCGATAAAACTCGGATCGATGCTGGAACGTCCTACGGGTTGCCACGGGTTACCGTTAACGGCATCTCTGTTCCCGAGTCTGCACCGAGACGCTTTGCGTCGTATCTTTGTCTTGAGTTACGATTTTGACTTTGATTTTTCCGTCGTTATCATGTCCTCCTCTCCCTTTCTCCGTTATTTGTTCCAGATTCTATTTTCGGACGACATAGATACTTTTTCGTCACCGCGACGTGATCGCTGACAAAATTGCGCCAATTTCATATCTGCCGTGTTCTACTTTCTCTATTAAGAAAGAGATTCGGAATTGCGATTGAGACTCGTTAAGAAAAATCATTTTAGTTTCTTGCATTTTCGGAAAGAGAAGCTAAAAACGTCGATACTTCACGATTCGTTGATTATAGCGAGATTTTTGCTTTCGTAGTTATAATTAATAGTATACTGGAGAAGAGATTAAATATAAAAACTAAAAAAGCAGGTAACTGAATAATTTCAAACTCTAATGCAGGAAATTTTGTCTCTCTCTTTCTTTCTCTCTTTTTCTCTTGAAATGATTGAACGTATACGAATTATAATTACACAAAGTCCCGTTAGCCGCAACTGTTGAATAAAATATAAACATATATATATTTGATACATATTATTATTTAATTATATTTTATGCAACATCTCGCGTGTTGTGTTGTTATACATGCAAATTGCTCATGTTAAATAAATATTGTTCAATGCGTTAATATGCATCGGAAATCGGAACACATAAAAAGCTAATGAATTACGACAAAATTGAACAAAAGAATATAAAAAAATAATATGCTGTATGCACATAATCGAATTTCAACGTACGCATGATTGAGATCTCTCGATCCCGTGCATACACGATTACATATATCTCTCCAGTTTTTATTTTTCTCAGAATATATATTCTTTCTATACGGGCGATCGGTTTGTACAAACAAAGCATAACGTGTTTCAATTAACTTGATATTTTTCCCCTTCCTCTCTTCCTCACATCGCGTTTTCTAGCGTGTACGCGAGAACGTCATTGTGAAATATGTGTCCCATATGGGATGTTCCTCGACTACAGGAGCTTTAAAAACATCCTAGAAATGGAAATGAAGATATATCGGTCGAGTGGCGTGCGATGGCGTTGGCAGAGTCGTTGTTTACGAGTCAACTTTATCGCGAAAACGCGCGCCAACATGAGCATGTATATGCGTCTGCATTCGCCACCCTCTCTAACCTCTTTCCTCTCTGACTACCGGTTTTTTCTAACTGCACCTGGTCACTCACTCTCTTTTATCCAAATACACACACACACGCGCACACACACACACACACACACACACACACACACACNCTCTCTCTCTCTCTCTCTCTCTCTCTCTCTCTCTTTCTTTCTCTTTCTCTTTCTCTTTCTCTTTCTCTTTCTCTTTCTGTGTCCAAAACTGTGTCCATAAACTTTTTTACAGTGAGATACCGCTCGATCGGGCATATTTTTTCATTTCGTCTTTGCGGCCGATCAATTTGGTCAACAGCCTCAATTTTGTGCAGCTTCACATCTGGCACAGATCGCTAATAGTTACAAATCTACGTCAGGCTTTTAAATTTAGATTTCTCAAGGATTATAAGAGAGTGAGAGGAAGAGAGAAAAATAGCGCGTGCGTTTCACCTTAATATTAATTTAAAAGTTTGATAAAAACTTTGGTTTGATTAAATTAATATTCAACACATAAAAACCGCAATACTAAACTACACCACGATATTATAGTTCGTGGGTTTTTTAAAACGTTTGATTCCATAAATTAATAATTATAACACAATAAACTATATATGTAACATAAAAACAAACTCCGTAATGCCGCGTGTTTGACATATACAAAATACTCTTGTAAAAATTCATCGTCGTTTAATAATGATACAACGACAGAAACCGAGCACACGTAAACGAGCATAGTTTTGGAGATTAATACAAGATTAGTATCAGAAAAATATGGTCTAATCGAGGAGCGGTTACCACTTTCAGCGATCCATCCAACGTAACAACATCAGCAACATTTTGCATATAGTATATAAAAAAATCACAGAACGTTATCGAAAGAAGAAAATGAAAAACAAATATTATATATGCGTGCAATTGTAATTAATAAACGATTTATGTCACATATACAGTTCATTCTTTTCATCGTGTAGCTTCGGCCGCAGCCGAAAAAACCGGCAACACTCAGTCTTACTAACCTTCGATTTCAGGTCCTCCCGTCGAGGTGGGCGTCACCATGTACGTCTTGAGTATCAGCTCGCTATCCGAAGTGAAAATGGTACTACCTCTAGGTCTTACTCAAATAATTTCGCTGAAAGTTACTCGTTATATATATATATATATACTCGTTATATACATATATATATATCTATAACGAGTAACGATATATATATATATACATATATATATATATATATCGTTTTTCGGTTATAAACACAATTAGCTGCTCTTTCTTTAACCATTCTCTCCCTTCACTGGTTCCTCCCAAGCAATCACATTTGTTCAATGCCCGTGTATTTTTTCAAGTTAAAGATTGCTAACGATCATATTATTGAATCGCAAATCAGCATTTTCTTATCCGCTGACAGATACAAACATGTGCACAAACACACATCTGGGGAAACTTACACGAGTACGAATGCGGATGCATATCCGGTCTTACACTTGTACATACACGCGCACACGAGTGTGTATTGTTCTTATTGTTCTTTTTTTATTTCTTTCACCTTCACATTACAAATGTACTTGTGAGAAAACTGACTGATCGTTTCGCAATTTTTTAGTTAATATATTGTACAGATTCAAAAAAGATTACACCACATCATGCAATTATAATTCTCACTCTGTTTGTATGTTGTGTGTGCTCTTTAGGTATAGTGAAACACGTTTTGTTTGTCGTCACATTAGAGAATGAAATATATTTAAATATATATCGCGGATACAACGATTTGTGTTAAGAAACAATCGATAAAGACGAAAACGATTTGTATGAATGTACATTTCTGAAGTTCAATTTTTGCAATGCTGATTGCGCATTGACACAATCGATATTTGCATTTATACGTGAGTCATTTCTCATGCTGTCCGTGTCTGCCGCTCGACAAATAGTTCGTTCATGCAGTTAACCACGCACTAATTGGGGCCGATACTTCCAGCGCGGTTGAGTTGACCCTCTAATAAACGACTCGTTTAATACGTTCGCCAAAGCGTAAATTATCTCCATTGCCTAACGATGACATCACGATTATCTTGCTCTTCGAATATTTTGCGTTTTGCACATAACAATCGATTAATTGCGGCTCTGCAGGCACTCGTAGCTTTTAATCTCGCCTTGTTTCTGGCGCAATGAAGAAATCTCGGTTTCTCGGAAAGCTGTTCAAAACGAGAGTTTGATTTCCATTGGTAGTTCGTTCCCGTACATCGATATCCGTCGCTATAAGTACATCACTTGATCGTCGTGCTTGTTGTGCACACATGGAACCATACCGCGTCCTTTTTGACACGCGTTTGTTTAGAGATGACATTTATGAAACTGCAGCAATCGCATAACGCGATTACCGCGGAACGATTTGGTTCCCGCTTCGAGGAACTCCAGCGGTCCGTTGCCATCGGCACAAAACAAACGTCCATTTTCTTGACACGTTGGATCTCAAAATCGATTGAACATAAAACCGCGGAAAAGAGAACCAATCCGGCGCTATGTCAACATTTATCAACATAACACATTTTACGCGCTAATATCTGACAGAATTAACTGGCTTTTCTCCGTCACAGTAGTAAAAATATAATAACATACATATGTAATTTGTATACACCTACTATGTACTATATTCTGAGATGTAAAGATATCATATTTTATTATTTACAAGCGCGAAAGAAATCGATTTGATATTTCACGAATGAAACATATTTAACTTTGCATACACGCATGCAGTATAAAGATTGTGACAGAGAAGCGCGACGGGTGGTTTACCGCTCGCCCTTCGAAACTGTCAAAATGAAGCCAACATAGAACTGAATTTTCCTGCTCGCTTTATATATCGTGGCGCCTCGTAACATGGACCAGCTTATCGCTCCGGTTTAACAACGAATGCAGAAATGAGTGTGCGCGTGTATGATCCCACGTATCCCTTCCACAACATACAAATACACACATACACACATATACATAATAGCGAGCAACCAAAAAAAAACATTAAAAATGGACAAACTACTATTTTATATTTCAGATAATAAATATATACTAGCTGTCCTCGTTTTACGCTCGGAAAACAGTTCTGTAGTTCTAGCAACTGAAAGCGCGCGGTGAGATTGCACAGTTGGAAATCCGGGCAAAAAACCTCGACATAAAGTATTATCATTGTAAATTATTGCGGAGGTAGTTTCGAAATGCGCAAGCCGGATTTACGTTGACAAAAAATAATTTGTTTCTACAAAGTGTGATGTTGACTCTCTCTTTCTCTTCCCTCTGCGAACAAACTGCATTTATGCGAAACATCATTAAAAGTTTTGACATCGGTGAAAAAAATTATGCAGAATTATGATCCAAGGTCGAGAGAACGAATTTCAGTTGCTTTGGCTACTTTATTTCCTATGAGCGTGAAAAACTTAGTTCACTGATCTCCTGCCTGACTTTAAGCCTGGGCTGTCTCGAATGTCACGTAGTGTTTAGAGAGAACGTGAATGAAAGAAGCGTTTCTTTTATCGCTTTCTGCTCTCAGAAAAAAATAGTATTTTGTTCACTATATATAAATCTATTAAAAAAAAAAAAAAAAGAAAAAAACACGCACGAATCGTCCCGTTAGACCGTTTTCTTAGACGCTCTAGCTGCTATGCCGCGGTTGCTAAGATGGGGCTGCCCGCCTGCCACCATTTATACGATTATTATTATTATATATATATATTCTATGCCCCGCAGCTCGACAGAAATCCCAACCCTCTGTCCAACACCTTCGCAAATTTCTTCGTCCGAATAACCGCACGTAACACACGTTCGTGCACAAACGCGCGAGAGAAAAAAACCTAACCGATCGAACTGTCGGATTGAGAACTGTCCAAATTCCTATAATATTATACTATCGGCTTTCTTTCAATAATTCAAAGCAATCCTCGGGTCCCATCAAATGCTAAAAGCCAAAAACCAAAACTAAATAAATTAATTTCGCCCGGAATCGACGATCGCAGTGACAATGACAGCAATTCAGTCTAAAGCAACAATATTGTTGGACAAACGTATAAGAAGATATTGCCGCTCTCGACAACGTTGAGAAGCGGATAATATATAAATCAAATGAACAAGTTTAAATGGATTATAATACATCAAGTAATTGGCAAAATAGCGTGTGAAAGTGCACAGAGAGAAAAAGAGCGAGAGTGAGAGTGAGAGAGAGAATGTGAGAGAGAGAGAGAAAGAATGTAAAAGAGAAAGAAATCAAAACAAAATGCAATAAAAAGCGACATGATAACAAAAAAACAGTAGTTTGTAAGATAATGTCATGCTATGAACATGGTTGTGATGTGTATACGGTATTACGTAAAAATATAATATATATAACCCCGAGACTAGTATAAATAATTTTTCTAGCTTGGAAGGCAACGTGTGGTCGACGAGGAGTCCTGTTGATTTGGTTCCGTGCAGGGTGCGAGCTCTCCTCGACTTGTCCATTTGTGCTTTGCCTCTGGTTTACACAAATAGACGTATATAACATATACTTCCTGATTTACGTAAACTATCTCAAAAAAAAAAAAAATTCGGAACACATTGATACATAAATTCGCACAAACGATGGCAGTAAAAATGAGTTTAGATTCGTTTCGATGTGTGGAACGTGACGTCATATCGCGCGATTAAGATTTTACAATGCGTGCGTAAGTCAGAGGTAGAGAGAAATTTGTCATTACTGTTGTTACTGTTTAATCTTAATTAACCTTTTTGTCGTACACGATAGATATTGCACACGGTTGTGATTAGAAAGTGGCGGGTAATCCAAAGCGACCAAGGCCGGATGGTTTTGTTGATTGCAGGTCCCCCTGTGGAAGTCGGTGTCACCATGTATGTCCTCAGCATCAGCTCCGTATCCGAGGTGTTGATGGTACAGTTTGCATTTACACTCATACAGAACTCTCTTGACATCTCGATATATATATATATATATATGTACTTTCATTTCTTTCGTCCTCGTGACTTTCGCAAAAAAAACGTTGCCCTCTCTTCCTATTTCTCTCCTCTCATTACATCCCTCACACATCAAAAAAAGCGACAACGAGAAAAATTCGTCTCTTGCGCGACACTTGTTCCCACATGTTTCACGATGGCACGATCGATCAAAAAATGCAAAAATTGTGTCAATATGTACCGCACTTTTTAAGAGGAAGTGTCGACTTTACGTTTAATTGAACTCATCGTCGAGCGTGCCTATCGTGTAACCGACGCTACATCATTAATCGAATTAGCTTATCGGTCGTGCCACTTGCTTCCGATTGCATCTGCAGGTATCATTTAGTTTCCAATTTGTTTGTGTTTCTCTTGTGTGTATTATACGACAGAACGTACATGTTTTTATGTAAAAATATTCCTTGTCAGTCAAAACAAAGACTATTGACTTTGATTGTTTGAATTTTATTGTACAAATTACAACTTAGTAGCAGTAAAAATATTCGCGTTTGTTGCAAATCATATGTTGATCGGGAAATCGTTACAAATCGGCGGAGATTAAGAGAAAATGACAACTTATATACGTTTACACGTGCACTTAATATTTTTTCTTGATACATTGTAAAATAGTATTTCGATATTTCGACGCGTTACACATATACACATGTATATTTAAATTTCAAGTCATTTTTCGATATCTTGTCGCGGAAAACTGCAGCAAAGGAAATATATGCTATGCCATGTAGTGATGTTACATCGGCAGCAAGGGGTGTCGACGTAACTGCAGCATAAGCTGCACGTACATATACATACGTACACACATGTTCATATGTGTACATATCAAGGCATATACAAAGACATACACGACGATAACGATGACGACAATAACAACAACAACAATGCACACACGGATGGCCTACTAACCAACGTTTTTATAGCTCGTCACAGCTGTTTGGTTGGCTGAACTGTTACAAGGGAACCTTGCTACGTTCCACAGTCTTCGCAAGATATATTCTTGTCCACTTAATTTATGGTTTATGGTTGAGTCATTTGATTCGATTTGCGATGTTCTTGTTGCATGGCCCAACTTGCGGTGCTCGAACTAGAGTGAAAATGTTAACTGTAAAACTTTTGTCTCTCGCGCATAACATTAAATCTTGTCGCGCTGCAAAGCATTTTTCTGTGTTCAAAGCGATTGTAAATAAATTAAAAAGCCAGTAAAGAATTCGAGGTCCTTTTCCGTTCGACTTTTATTGTCTTTCCAGAAAATTCATGAAATAGAAATTGCGTCGAGCTTCTCTAAAATAGGAAATAATATACGCATATAAAAAATCAAGTTTATAAAAAATGTAATAATTAAAAATATTAGAAAATGAAAATGCCGTTATATTCCATTTAAATAACGTGTAATAATTGTTATGCTACAGATCGAGCATCGCAGGCTGCACATATGTTCAGATACGTTCGTAATCACACTCTCACACACAAACAAACACACACACGTGTATATGTATTGTATGTGTTTATATATATATATATATATATATAATGTATATATGTATATATATGCGTAATTATCGTATACATCTATATATACACTTCGATAGTCTGCACCGACGAAAGTTGGACCTGCGTCGTGTAAGAAGACCAGTTTCCACCTTTCGGCGGCTAAAACGGGAAAAAAACACACTGAAGGGGAACTGGCATTTCCTCTTATACAATTCGTTTCTCATCAGTGTACTAGTACAATACGCGTGTGTAAAAATCTTTTACATTTGCAAATTCGAAATTAAGTGTGATATGCGTGTGTACAATAACAAATATATACAAACTACATTTACACATTCGTATTTCTTTCTCAATATTTTTAAGGTATATACAGCGGCACTGCGTATATAATGTATTGTGTATTTACGCATAATCCTGTAGTAATATCAAAGATATTCGTTCCGGTATCGACAATCAGTTTCAAACTGGACACAAAACTGGATTCACTATTAATCGCGTTCCAAAGTATATACTCCGCAGATTACATTATTCTTAATAATAATACTAGAAAATACACGATAGGAATCTCTCGTATATTCTGACATAACAATGGCGTCAGGTGATCGTGAGAAAATATGTCTTTTTTTCTACAATTTCTGTAGAAAAAAGAAAAAAACAAAAGTCTTAACACATAATTCAAGTGCGCGATGACAGATTTTTCGAGTTTCATATATAGTATAGTAAAACTTGGTTCGCGCCTCGAGATTGACGTTGATCACCGCACACAACTCAATGCAAATTCCGATCGCAACCTTTGATCTTTGATGGTCGTATCTTTCTTATTTGACGTGTAGTACAAGTCACTCGCGAAGGAAAACCGATACGTCGATTTTTTGTTTCATCCCTCTCACGAAATCTAGAATACGAGTTTGGAACTGAATGTACGAGGCTGGACCCCAGGTGTTGAGCCCTGTGCGGAAACCAAATCAAGTCGACACTGTCACCTGGGACGTGACGCGCGAATTTTTACACTTGCTGGCGAATGTCCTTTTTCCCATATCTTTTTCTCATTGCTCCCTCGCATCCCTTATCTCCATAGTCATGTATAAAAGCGATCGTTCGATGTCTACTCTCTCGAAGAACAACCTTTTCGGGCTGCATTCGGTCAGCGTATATCCGCGAACAGTGAGACAATTTTCTCAACAATTTGTCTTCCTTTTCGAATGGCACTTTTCGGAAAAATTGACGAGAGAGAGAAAGAGAGAGAGAAAAATACAAGAAAGCGCCTTTATATATGCTCGGTGAAGATATAGACCTCGTGGTCGAACGAATCCGAAAGAAAGAAGGATAAAGCATAAGTAAAAAAGAAAAAAAAAAGAAATGCAAAAGAAAAGAGAGCAAAAGAGAGCAAAAACTATATCGACAGAAGATATACGCAGCTCTTCGAAGAATGAACTGCTTTTCTCCTTAGCCTGTTTTCCTCTCCTCTCCTTTTTACCCACGGCCAGCCGATTATCACATATCGAACAAAGAATATAGCGACGTTGCGATTACGTCGAATATACGTCGACTTATATTATATGTATATATATATGTATGTATATATATATATAAATATATACATATATATATATATGTGTGTGTGTATATTATATATTTGCATATATATCTCGTATATATCTCTATGCTACATACATCGTAAATATATTATGACACCTATATGAGCTGTGTCATTGTCAGTGTGTGCAGTGCGCTTCTGGTTGCTATGAATCACGTCATGCTATATACTGTATATATATATTAATACAAATATTCCTCGAGTGCGCGCGAGCGCGTGTATTACGTGCATGCGCACGCGTGTCCGCAATAAGTGTGTGCATATATTATATACATATATATATATATATATATTGTATATATATATATATATATATATATATATGCGCACGCGTAAGGTTGTGCGTGCATATAAGCTTTATTGTATTGTGTATATGTATGTATGTATGTATGTATTTATGTGTATATATATATACATATATATATATATATATATATATACGTATATATATTACATATAATACATATATATATTACATATATTCTCGGTGTATATGGCGTGTGTAACACACAACATAATTTCTATGTGCTTGCGCGTCAATTGCCTTTTGTCGAGGCGCGATAAACTCCAAAAAAAAAAAAACAAAATGGAGTACAGTCCTTACTCTCGTATGAGTTCCTCTCGCTTCCATCACTTGTATTGCTCTAGATACTAACGCCTTTTTATATTTTTGTTTCTCTCTTTTTTTTTCTCATATTTTGAATTGATTGATCTGCGAGTGTTCGTCTGGAAACGCTTCTTGTTCTTTTTTTTTATTATTAAAAAAATCACTTTGATTGCGTATAATGAAGATGCATGTTCGCTAACATTTCTCTTGAATTTTTCCGAAATTGTTTTATAGACAACGAGATGTGTATATTTGCTACAACTTCTCGATACACACCGGAATATGCACCACGCAAAGATTCGCACAATAAAACTAACTCAATAACTAACTCAATATAACTTATTATAACAATTCAGTAATTACAGTAACTCAGAATGAAGAATTGGAACGGAAATTGTCAAAGATATTTTTTTTTGCATAGGAATTGACAGTGATCAGTTAATATTTTACTCAAGCATTTGTTAGTGCAGCAATTACACGTCATGACTTAACCGCAGTGCGCCTGGAGGATCGCCAGGAACGTGAACGATGACAACTTTCGATCCATACGGCAATTCCAAGAGATATTTCAAAATCTTTTATATCTGTTCGCGCGTTTAATTCGACTGATTAATTACTTATATCATAAGCACATTCATATAATATTATATATTAAATATTAATATTTTTAATTTGCAGATATCTATTGTTTTTTTCATAACACAATTAGATAATTACATAAATTACCTGTCTCACACTCATTTATTGCTATTATATACAGAATAATAAAATCCTAATATAGATCTTCAAGTTTTTTCACGTACGATTTTACTTAATTAGCGAATCAAATCGAACTTTAAAATAAGTCAAAAAATGTGAAATTAACAGAGGACGCTCCGCGCATTAAATTCTTCATAGCAACGCGACTTGAATGATAGGAAAATTTCTTACATATGTGCGCACACGCTGTAGAATCGCTTTAGGTCGAGCTCTCTTCTGTCATATCGAAGCATGGCGCGCTCTTGAAATTGCAAAATTCCAAACTTTATTTTCAAAGGCTTCTTTTTACAGAATGTTTGCGCGTTGTAAAATGTTAAGAAAAACGATTATCGATATATAGTCGCTAAGAAATATGTAATTAAATAATTAATTTCAAAGTAATCATGGATATAAAACAATTTAACGTGAAAAACTAATAAATATATAGAGACGGTCATGAGAGCCGTTTGCTGGATGTTGTGCGGAAATATGCGTGTATATACGCGAACACGTGAACATGTATATATATATATACGCATATTTCCACAACATCCAGCGAACGGCTCTCATGACCATCTCTATATATTTATTACTTTAAAAACTTCGGAGCCTAAAAATTATTTTTTAAAATAATTGTAAAAAACTAAGTAACAATTAATGATGGTAATTTTTTCATAAAACTAATCACATAATTGTTTGAAATTCTTTCAAAATTTTATTTGCTTATCTACATTATTTATATACCTATCATCACCATGCATGGAGTTTTGTAACTCAAACAGCTTCAAAGCATGCTTGTGTACGTAGTTGTGTGTGTGTTTTGATATCCTGTTATCATTATTGATATCTGTCTTAGATGTACGTACATGTCATCACTATACATACACAATCCTTACACCTTATCTTGTTCGCGTGTACACACGAATTATGCTCGCGTCGCAAAACCTTTGTCCTGTGATTGACCCTAATGTCGACAGAAATCTCAATGCTCACGAGGTGTGCAGAAATCACGTGCAAATATATTAAACTCATAATCTTGATTTTTGTGGTAATTATAAATTATTAATTATAAATTAATAATATATTCCAACTATTAACAACGTTTGCATGTAGATCTTTAAGTATATTCGCAATGTAAGAGAAAGAGAGAGAGATCAGAAAAATTCCGATAATCGAATGAAAACACGATATTACTACATTTTGCAACAAATTAACATGTATATAATCTTAATGAAAATCTAATAAGTCTTTCTATTGTCTGCACGAAAAAATAAAAAATTCTTTAGGTAATTACATATTATAGTTCTCGCTTTAACTCAGCGTAACGCAACAGTAAGACAACAAAAATCTTGTAAACATTAAACAAATTTTAGTCATATTCAAAATTACTTAATGTATTAGCAGATTAATAAAAACTTTCCATTTTCATAATTTGCTCGTTTATTTCACTTAAACGTGCTTAAGCTTCTCGATTTAATGTTAATGTTATAACTTCTTTACTTCTTTTAGCCAAAACGTACAAATAAATTTTTCAATAAAAATCGGCAATAGAGGAATTTAGAAAACTCGTGATATAAACAACCTTCACAGTTCGTATTAGCGACAAAACACAGTATCTGCATATTCTAGTAGTTTTTTTAATCAATTTTTTTATATAAGTATGTATATACATGTATATGTACCGCACAAATTATCAATAAAAGTGAATTTAGTACGAGATACTCTCTCCTGTAGGACTTCTCTGTTTCATTTAATATCGTGTTACAAGGATGATAATAATGGAATCACACTCATGGTCGTTAATCACGTTCAATCGAAAGTTCGTCTCGCTCGAACTGCTCTACACGTCACTTCTTGCTCTATCATGCCGCGGGAAATAAACGCTCTCTTGTGAGTGCGAGATTCAATGACGGAACGCTCTATATAGAAGTTCTCAAAGTTGCTGTCGCAACTTCGGACTTTGCAGCCGCGCCGCGTGGAATTAGCTCCGCCTCGTTTCATAACGTGGGGTTAAGTAGAACACCGGAGAAGATCTAGATAGAAGAATCAAAAAGTTAACACTTAGCTTAGATTTTCACGTGTTACAATAAACGCGACGAGCTGCCTCGGTAAGCCATCCGAAGATGCCTGTCGACACATACGCAATATCTCGGAGGACATATTTCCTTTCCCGTACATTCGCACGCATATCCTTTCCGATTGACACGTTATTAACGTAACAAACGGTCATGCCATAAAAAAAAAAAAAAAAAAATGCGTGACGCCCTATGTATTGTGCTGCAATTGTTATCTTGTAACACAATCTCGCACAATTCTGCGCGCGATCGTAGATTTTTGCGTTCTACCTTGCAGGAACGCGAATGCTTTTCCTACTTATTTGAGATATTTTGTCTTCTTGTGTCTTTGCAAAAATAAGGAAAGACGAGGACTAACGTAGCACTTCGAAACTCGAGTCTTTAAAGGCTCTATGTATTCAAAACGACCCGCGAATCTTAAATTTTTAATCATTTCTAGAGCAAATAATTGATAACACTTCTTGAAATCAAGTGACAAATCAACTGACAAAAGAACGCATACATACTTTGCAATTTATCTTTGTTTTTATACAAATTTGAATAGGAATGTAATATTTCCAAAAAAAAATCAATTTCCAGTTATAATGTTTAAAACGTATAATGTTCCACGTATCCAATTTTCACGTATATAATGATTAAAATTACATAAAATACAGAAAAGTTTACGTAAATCCTCGTATTTTTGCTAATACATCTGTGAACACAAACGACTTCCGGTCTAATAAGTCACCTGTGTCGTACCAGGACTTCACGTTGGATTTTTACTTCCGACAATTCTGGACGGACCCGCGACTTGGGTTCAAGCAACGACCGGGCGTCGAGACGCTCAGCGTCGGTTCGGAGTTCATCAAGAATATATGGGTACCCGACACCTTCTTCGTCAACGAAAAACAATCGTACTTTCATATTGCTACCACCAGCAACGAGTTCATTCGTATTCACCACTCAGGCAGCATCACGCGTAGCATACGGTGAGTAAAGAAAATCTTTATATTACACATGTACAGTTAATAAGTGAACATTATATATGTATTATTGACTGATTATATATGTAGATAGATTAAATACTATATAATCTCTTTTTCTGAGCCAGTTAAGTAGATTTAATCTCGAATTATTACTGTCGTCGTCTATATAAGACCAGATATAGTACTTTCCATCGTGACTATAAATTGAGCCCATTGCCCCTTCATCAGCACACAACATTTACGGCACTTCTGGGACCAATTGTGCTCGCTGCGACAAATTCGTTCCCTGTAGCCTCATATCTCCCTACCTTCTCTTTCTTGTCTAACACACTAGCGCCCGTATCGTGCCTCGTATCTATCTTTCCCCTTCATGCGCGCCCGAGAGCGTTCTCATATTAACCTACCGGCTATATTCAGACGATCCATGCATATCTAATTCTTGTGCTTCCTCGCAATATCGTTCCGTTACATCTTCGACTTCCGTATCGGAATTGTCGAATCTAGTCCCGCTTGGGAACACAGGAGAAGAATATCGATGAAGCCCTGCACATTCTTGCGCGAATAAATTCTTCTTTGCTAAGAATTATCGATCGCAGTAGTTTACGTTTGTACACATACAAATCGTGCAAATATCATTTTGTTTCATGCGCTATAAACAACATTAAAATAATTCATCAAGAAGCAATCGTTAAACAGACTCTGCTTGAATATGTTTCAGCTTAACAATTACAGCATCGTGTCCCATGAATTTGCAGTATTTTCCGATGGACCGACAATTGTGCCATATTGAGATCGAAAGTTGTAAGTACGCAACACATGCGTCTACATTATATATTTGAATATGTATGTGTGTATATATATATATATACACATTTATATGTATATACACACACACATTGCAGTAAAAAACAATCTCCTATAACGCAAAATTAAAGTGTAGATTCTTCTAATAGAAAAAAATTGCCTTGTATAACCGCGTATTTTTTATACTCTAACTCATCCAAGTTTTGTACAACGCGAAATATCTCCTGTGTCATACAGGTGTGCCTACTGTATGTATGTGTATATATGTAATATATACATATAAACAAAGTATGATTTCATAGAGTTTGACATTCTCGTCTATGTATTTTACTCGCCGTACTAAAGTGTGTGTATGTATATATATATATACATACACATACTTTAGTACAGCGAGTAAAATATATATATATATATATATATATATATATATATACACACTTTAGTACACAGCGAGTAAAATACATAGACGAGAATGTCAAACTCTATGAAATCATACTTTGTTTATATATATATATATACTTTGTTTATATATATATATATTACTTGCGTATATTACAATGAAAGTTAAAAAGACTTTCATGCATTTCGACTCGCAATTTTACTTTCTCCGAATGACAATCGACTCGCCGTATCTTTCCGGCGTCAATCACTGACCTGCACGTATATGATATAATTTCTTTTTTAGAAAAAAAAGATTTGTTATATCAAAGATTTCTGGCAATTCATTAATCAAAATTGTAGAAAAATGATAATTTGCGATGTATTGAATAATAATCAATTTCGCAAAAAAAGAAAACTAGAATACACAAGAAATGATTTTCAATTGTATATCTTTGTGAATGTATCTTTAAAAAACTTTTGCTGTGTCATATTTATCCTAATATCACGATTATCCGATTACACAGTTCTACAAAAATAGATCGTTTTTGAGGGACCTGAATAAACAAAGTGTTTTCAAAAATAGATTTTTGGTTGCTGAAAACGAATCCGACAGCGAAATTGGCTTACTACGTCAGATTTCCGAGAAAATTAAGGTTAAATGTGCCAAACTTGGCGTTTTTGGCTGTACTTACCGTTATTTTGCGGTCAAACTATATTGTTTTTGCAATTTTACTTACGCCACATTAAAGTGTTATCTTTTATCTATAATATAAATTTAGTATACAATATAGTAAGAAATAAACAATTTCACGAGATAATCAGAATGCCAAAGTGCGTGATTACGTTCTTGTCTCTAAAAAAAATATTATCTATATCTAATTTGATGATTTATAATATGTTAAGTATGTATATGAAAAAAATCGTACTATAATATATGTAAATTCATATTGTAGATAAAAGATAGCACTTTAATGTATCGTAAGTAAAACATTGCAGAAAACAATTTAATTTGGTCGCAAGAAAATAGTAAATATAGTCAAAAACGCCAATTTTGGCACATTTAACTTCAATTTTCTCAGAAATCTGACGTGGTAGGCCATTGTCGCTCTGAAATTCGTTTTCAGTAACCAAAAATCCATTTTTAAAAATACTTTCTTTATTCAGGTTCCAAAAATGTGTTGAACAGTGTTATTGGATCGTGTACCAGTTACTTCTCGCTTGTAAAAGCGAAAACGATCAATTCTGGCAACTAGTGCATGTAATTCGGAGAATAACGCCGAAAGCGATACGCAGAAAATATCCTTATCGATAGTCGATTGTCGCTGATTCAATGCGATTCAACTGTACGATTGTCGCTTTGAACTCCTTGTTTTCAGATAAATATAGAAAAATGCTTCTATATACCGTGTATATTTGTGTTGAGCAAAAAAAACCAGAACTTTGTGTTCTTTTCTATTACACGCTCACACAAAGAATACTGTCAATTTCCACAGTTTGATACTCTCCTCTAATTTTCCTTCTTTCCTTTCTTTCACTCTCAAACGTTACTGGTATATATCTGCAATTTCTCTCCTTCCTTCCTCCCCCGATATCAAATTTTACTTCCTTCTTTCTTCTCTATCTACCCCTCTCTCTATCTGTCTGTCTATCTATCTATCTATCTATCTATCTATCTATCTATCTGTCTGTCTATCTGTCCGTCACTCGCCACTTCACACGCTCACACAGTCAGTCAGTCACACAATGAGAAAAATTCACTCATTCACTTCGTTCACTCGCTCACTCACCCACTCGCTCTCTCTCACACTAATAACTGGGTTTTTGTAATTTTTTTGTGTTTTTCTTTGTATCTCATACACGATGATTGTACGTATGTAAAAATAAAGGAAATTTGCAAAGTCGGGTATTTATTGTAAACCATTCTTTTGTACTCGCGAAACGAAGAATATATCCAGAAATAGTGTGACATTTCGAAGTGTCAAGACAAATCGCGGCATTCATTTCCAAGATACATTTTCTCTTCTCATAATATAAATCTTACGAAAGATAACGAAGATAACGGCATCTATGAACAATCGACATTTTAGTTTTCTTCGCTCGTTTACTTTTCGCGTGAGTGTGGTTTAACTGTAAAATCCCGATTTTGCGTTTGAAAGCACGGTGTGCGGTTAATAAACACGTAAGAATAAGCTTCTCGATGCGCCGTAATGACGGCTTCTATCGGTCGCGCACTGAATACACAAATTGAATCGTCGACAAGACACGTCGATTAATCGTTCTGTTAGACTGTTAATGTGCTGCGAGCATAGAAATCGTAGGAGTTAACCAGAAACAATATGTATCACATATTCCCGCGCAAAGACATATATGTGTGTGTATGCGTATAAGTGAGTGGTGCGATAGATGCTGACTGTCATGAGTTTGTGTTGACGGTCGTAACTGCTGCAAATTGCACGATGTCATTGAAGCAAACGAGAATTTTAGACAGTTCCAGTAGAATTCTTTTGTTATCTATCCACAGCAAGATAAGATAATTGACGTTATACTTTGTGATACATACTAACATGATTTGTATTTATATTTAATATAATATGAAAATTTGCTGTGAATTTCTGGTGATTTGTAGAGTACGCGCATTAACAATAATTCGTACATGTTGCAACACATGTATACGCTTGCGCAAATTGTCTAAATAAATTAACACAATATAATCACTCCAAGCATTGTTATTAACAATAACTACATGATAAGTTATTAGAAATGTAAATAATTGTGCGTGGAAACAATATATCGCATTTATGGTATTTATACTCGCATAAATGCAAATGCGAAATTTGTGAGAGCGCACGATCGAACGCAATTAACTGAAATAATATGTGCAATAGTAATAATAATAATAGCGATAACACAAAGTTTATTTAATGTTTTCGAGTGTTCTTCGAGCAGAAGTGCTCAATGTTGCCGATTTATACAGCATAATAGAAAAAGTTTAGCTTTACTTCCGCACTACTTTTCTCTTCGCTAAAAGATCTACATTAAAACTCAGTAGTCGGTTGTGAATAAGGTCATCAGAAATCCGGCGTATGAGATATCGCAGAGGGACGAAGTTGGTCGATTAGTTTTGTCGAGAGTACAGAAAACTTCGGATTCTCTCTCGCGAACACTTTTTTTGCCCTTTAATTGATCAGACTGGTCGAACGCAAGTTATAGTTTCATGTGATAAGTTGTCACGATACATTCCTGTCATGAATTACAAAAGAATACTCATCGATCTCGAAAAATTAACGATCTTCCGCTAACTTTAACCCTTCTCACGCACACATGGCTTATTTTGGAATCTTTATCGATTTTGAATTTTGTGATTGAACTTCTATAAGAAATTCTATGTAAAAATAATTAACATACTTGTCCGAAATAAAAAAATACTCGTACAATTTGCAGCAAACTCGGTACACAAATTCAATCGTGCATGATTATCTATGCTCGTCGACATAAAACGACTGCTGTGACTTTTTTACAACAAGAATCGACAAGGATATGAATTGTTTTCCCTCGTAAGTCGTAGCATCGACTGAACAAAGCGATACATATCGCTCAATTAATACGTTTACAGGACACGCTTTGCCACATATCCTACGCAGAGACCGTATGCGAACATATTTACGAGCATACTCCAAAGAATCTTCGCTCTACCAAACATATTTCGCTGACTGTGTTTCGTCATGTCTTAGCCGAACGCGATTTCTCGATGGTCATTTCAGCAGTGAACACAAATAATTAACTATGCATATACGAGTCATGAAGAACCAAGCACACACCTGACATATTGCTGTCTTACACATCTGTTATCTTTAATCAACAATTTTCTCTGAACTATACTCAACAATATATTGCAATCATTTTTTTTTTTTTTTAATCAAAAACATGATTAAATTGTGCCAATTAATCAATTTTTTGTAAGTCGACAGTAACGAAAAAATCTCGAAAAAAAAGTATCCAGTTCATTATAAGTGACGAACACGCCTATACTGAGGAAAGTGGAATCCGTTCCGTTTGTACGACAGTGATTTCATCTTGAAAAGAATGCGATCAGGAAGATATCACGTTGTAAACGGGATCTATAGTATCACAAAGCACAACTGTAAATAAATATAATAAACAAACGAGAACTCTCTCTTTCGGCGCACCGTCGCCAAAAATCAAATCCGCGACGAAAGTTTTGAAAAACACTTTGCTATTCTGCTACTCATCACCACCACTACTGACAATAAACCACCGTTCATTACTTATCAACGTTCCCATACCCCCACGTTCCCTTTTTCACTCTGAGACCGCGATAGGCCTCCGACATATAGCACTAAGCCTCGTGTCCGGGGACGTGTAAAGAGCCGACGACGGCCAGCCCCGAAGGAGGCTAAACCCAGAAACGACGTGTGTCGACAATGGTCCGACCGAATTAAAACGCATTGTGCATCTAGCCCAGCGCATGTAAGAATGAAAACGACGAGTGCAACAACATTAATTATGGCGTACTACGTCATGATCACGTTTTTATCGGTAATGCCTATTATTATGAATTTTGCGATCTAATTCTCATTTGCGACTCCTGTCGCAGTGTGTTCCTTTTCCTTTGCCTTTGTACCCTCTTGCCCGATTCTTCGAACAATTTTTGTATTTATAGTAAAGCCATATATGTATATCTGACATAGTTTGGAAACAGCATGTGTCTAGGCATGGACATTTACTTATTTACTTACATATTTCTCTCGATCTCTTTTATTCTAAGAAAAAATGTATCAAACTCGAAATAAGTAAACGATGTATTGAAGAGAGACAACAATAATGGCTTTAATTTTCTCTCATAGCTTTACTTTAATATATTTAAAGTATAAATCTTAGAAACAAATATTCTCTATTTATATATAATTTAATCTTAACTTGAGTAAACGTCTCGATGAAACAGAGAGAGAGAGAGAGAGAGAGAGATACAATTAATCTAAATTTAATTATCTAAAAAATAATACTTGTGATTTTTACGAATGCTCCAAAATATTTGCACAAAGTCACATTCACGCGCAGCGTAAAGCATGATGGATAGAGAATAGAGCATGGAATACACAACACAGAATGAAATGTGCACTATAAAGCTTGTAGTATATATATGCAGATCTGTGCAATCCCTTAGCTTTTCTCTGTCTGTATGTGTGCGTGTGTGTGTGTGTGCGTGTATGCGTGTGTGCGTGTGTGCGTGTGTGCGTGCGCGCGCGTGAGTGTTGTATGTTACAATACTATAGCATGACATCTTCCTTTTCTTTTTTTTCTTCTTCTCTTTCTCTGCTTCTTCATATTTTCTACTTATATACTCTCCACCATTCGTCTTATATATATATAAATCTAAAATCTGCTCTGCCACTATCATACATAGTCCTTGGTATTTTGCTAATGTTTAAATTTTCCTTTTTGCATTATTCAAGATATAGTCATTGCTATGACTCGTGTGTCCTCTCTTGTTTTATTTCATTTTTATCCAGTTCCTTATCTCTCGTGATGCTTAATGTTGTTCCTATAGTTCGAGAACTTTTTATTAAAATTTTATGAAAGTGCCAAGTTATCTATACTGCATTTAACTATACGACGATCATCGGCAAAAATAACGAATAAAGGAACGCGTGCAAAGTTTTTTTACCTTCTTTTTTTACTGAGCGTGATATCATTGCTGGCGCAATATTTTTATTTTTTATTTTTTGCTATCAAGAACACAAACAGCCTCTTTCGTAATAAGCACGCGTTAGTGGTAAATGTAATTAAAACAGAAAAATATTAAAACGTATATACACTTGCATAAAATATATATATTCTAATGTAATAGCTTAAAACATTATATACGTTCTATCTTTCTTTAACGTTGACGTGACAGTTAAAAATTGTTTTTTTACACAAATATATGCGAACAAATAAATCTGTTATGTTTGTACATTAGCGATGTTGAACACGCTCATTATGGGATCGTGTAATGTCATTATCTCGATTTTGCGCAATGTTATGTAAAATTGTATCCGTCATGAGAAAATAGCTCGCGGTCTGTTATTACCAAATGGAATAGTAGTTAAAACGCGGAATTCAAAATCGGATTTCAAGAACAAAAGTAATTATTACGGTATTATTCGGAGGCGCATTATACTCGCGCTTTAATTCGCATTTCGATGCTCGCGCAATGTGGTTTACCACCACGATGAAATACCTTTGGTGCTTAGAATACGGTGTAACGATCGTCTAAGATTCAGTTACGATGGAATGTTTCTTGATAGGATTCGCGCGCTGGAGGCTACACGAAAGAACTATATGAACAGCGCAAAATAAGCGCAAAGTATGGCAGATATTTTTAATTACGGGATTAAAAACAATAAAAAACTGGACAAACAGCAAAATTAAAACATATGTTGCGCGTGATTTTTGAGAGAGATTTTTATTTACCATTATTGCACTAGAAAAAACATAATTGCTGTCACTTTTTTCTCGCGTTGTCTCAAATGTTATTATTATACATGTCACAAATTCGGTTTTTTTCAAAATATCATAGACGCATTGTATTGTAAAAGGCATTAATTTGTGGATAGTAAAGATTATGCAAAATAAATATTTTGTTCCAATTCGAGCATAAAAATTCAAAATTCGCAACAATCTTTTATTATTACGTCGGTAACACTTTGTTCAATGAAAAAGATGTGCGCGTATATTAGATCTCAGTGAATCACGAACGACACTTCAGTTACCGCAATGCCTAAATCGATGACAGCTATGATACAATGGCATGCAGAACATCCTAAATCGATTCAGTGCTAAGAGAAATTTATGTCGCTTCTCGGCAGAATTCGATCGTGAAGCAACAAAGTAAAACGATTTAGGTTGTTCGCAATAACTTTGCTTCTAATTACCATAACTCCCTTGAGATACCCTTTGCTGCTCTCTCTTCCGGTCCCGAATCGAACACCACCTAAGTATCTAATTACTATATGTTAGAGCAAAGATATTTGTGTTCTTGTTCTCCCGGCAGTTGGATACACAATGCGCGATATTCGGTACAAATGGAACGCCGGCCTACAGTCGGTCGGCATCTCAAACGAGGTGGAACTACCGCAGTTTCGCGTGCTCGGTCACAGGCAACGACAGAGAACCATACACCTATCTACAGGTAGATATCCTCCTCTTATTCGTTTTTCCTTCTAAACTTGGTCCAAACGTTTACGTGGATAATAACATGTATGTATATATTAAATAATTAACTTGTGAATTATATATTTTTTTCATTATCGCTATTGTGTAACAACGTAGCGAGGTTTGTTATTTGTATCGGAAATATGTGTAAATATGCACTATATTACGCGCGATCACGATTGTCTTATCTTTCGATACGTATTATATACATACATATATAGACAGACATACACACACATACACACAGGGATAAAAAGAAAAAAAAAGAAACAAGCGCACACACACACATATATATATTTAAAATACATAAATCCTACTTTTACTCGCACCGATATGCACCGATCACTACTATCTGTTTGCGAACACGTTTAATTATATAAGTACAAACTTATTTGGTAGGACGACACTGTAGTCCTACAGTCATTCATTTCGACCGATCGACTGATCGACTCATCGGATTTTATTTACACTAACGCAGACATTAGTGTTTTAGTCACGCGTTTCCATCGTTCTCTAGAGAAGATTTAATCTTTTCATCATAGTTGTAGATGGGCGATATACTATTTTTATTTTAAATATTTCTCACTATACAATATAAAGACGTATCTTTACGTAAAATAAAAATTTACATAACTTGGAATCTCTATATTGTTTCTTAAAATAAGCATATTATTTGCGTTTACTTAAAAAAAAAAAACGCTTATGAGCACATAAGAATAGTATTGCGTCCACTTTTAGCCCAACATTCACCTCAACTACACAATATCAAAACAATAATCGCCAATGACGGACTTGTAACTACTCACTCCTTCCGCTTCTTTTGATCATAATCTGACGATCAAGAAAGATCGTTCCATATATGATCTCTCATTACATATAATTCCGTCCCCACAAACGTCCTTTTACAGTTAGTTAAAACTCTGTAGCCTTTGTGTTGCAAGGGCATCTATCACGCATAGAGTATAACAGAAAAAGTAAAATAAACCGAGAGGGACAGATAGATAGAAAGAAAGAAAGAAAGGAACGAAAATTGTGACAGAGAGAGAGAGAGAGAAAGAGAAAGGAGAGAAAGTGAAAGAGAACGGACTCGTGAGGTTTGATGGGGGTGCGAGGTAAGTGGAGGCCCCCTCGGAGCTGAAATGCGTTTGAGGGCTTCCGCGAAGGTACGTACCAACCGCGGGGGGTCTCTCTATTTTTTCAGTCGGATACACGATGAGGGACATCCGGTACAAGTGGAATGAGGGACCGAACAGCGTCGGCGTCAGCAACGAGGTCTCCCTGCCTCAATTCAAGGTCCTCGGTCACCGTCAACGTGCCATGGAGATTAGTCTTACCACCGGTAACGTATAAACACAACCCCACCCCCACCACCAGACAAGTAATTGTTCAACCCTCGCTTTTAACGGCATGGGTAAGGTGGAGAGACACGTGAGCGCTATCCGAATGTCCGTAGGCGCAATTGTCGCTCGTTAAGTAAAAATCGTAATTCTGTGGTTTTTTCACTTACTTAAAAAAAGCCGTCGATCGATCGATCGATCTCTCTCTTTCTTGCAATGCGTTGTCGATTTCTCCTTGAATATCAGACCTGCTTTCGATACGGACACACTTCGCGTTTGATCGCGAAGTGAATTCTATCATCGTTACATCCCTTTGCTCGATTCGAATAAAATTCCTGATCGTTTTCACATCTCGACATTACGATGTTTCACAATCTCTGTCAATCTATCATAACGCAAATAACTTTTCTGCGTAATATGTTATACATACATAACGTACGCCGAAACAATAATCACTTGCTACTGATGAATATTATTATTCCAGTCTTTTACATCATCTTTTTCGATGATTCTTCTATGTTATTGCAAACAACAATTAAATGATGTACGGCTACTGACAAAGCTAAGTAGCATTTTCTTCTTGTCTCCGCATCTTTTAATAATATAATTTTGAAAAATAACGCAAAAAATAAATTGTCGCAATGGTCGTCGCAACGGAAAAGAAATGCTGCCGATTGCGAATTACTGTTGGAAACAACATGATTTTCCATTTCAATCAATTTCTCAGTTCTCTTCTTCCGCAACCACGTTGCACCAACGAGTTTCTCTCGCGAATGGCATAACGATATACACTGCCGCCACTCGCAGTACGCACTTCATACACCACATGCATGTTACACAACAACGAGCACAAAAAGTCGCGTATCGACAATGCGACATTCACTTAACATTCCCAGCTTAGGCCGCATTTCCGGCCGGCGCAAGAAATAGAGAGAGCTACACGTGAACAATGAGACCGCTTTTCCCGGCAGAAGCCATTGACGAGACGAGCAAAAGGAAGTGGAGAGAGATCGAAGAGAAGAGAGCACAGGGAACGAACGATGGAAGGGAGAGAGAGAGAGAGAGAGAGAGAGAGAGGAGAGAAAGAGAGAGAGAGAATGAGACAAGATACATAAAAAAGAGAGAAAAAAGAAAGTGAGAAAGAGAGAGATATAAAAAAAAAAAAGAATAGGAAAAAACAGTGAGGAGGAAGGACAGTGAGCACGGAAGATAAAAGAGTCATTAAGCAGTGCCTCCGTCTCTCTGTCCTGACCTTCGATCTTTTAATCGCAGGGAATTACTCGCGGCTGGCCTGCGAGATCCAATTCGTACGGTCGATGGGCTACTACCTGATCCAGATCTACATACCCTCGGGGCTGATTGTCATAATATCGTGGGTGAGCTTTTGGCTAAACCGAAACGCGACCCCCGCTCGGGTGGCCCTCGGAGTAACCACTGTGCTCACTATGACGACTCTAATGTCCTCGACGAACGCAGCGCTACCAAAGATCTCCTACGTCAAGTCCATCGACGTCTATCTGGGCACCTGCTTCGTCATGGTCTTTGCCTCGTTGCTCGGTGAGTGCGATCGTGTACTCTTCCGTGCCTTTACGTCGCTGCCATTAAGCTTTCCATCCCGCGTCCTCTCTCATACAACTCTGTATTGGTCCGGAGTCTCGTGTCGTTTCAGAGTAGAGAGCTCATAGAATATTAGTAGACGGATACTTGTGCAGGGTTCACGTGGCAAATGCAAGCAACCTATTTTCCTCGAAATTGTTATCTGGTGTCAGCGACGAGAGAGTGTTCGAATGGTGGCTCAAATCAGCATTGTTCTCGCGCGATGTAAAACAATGTCTTTGAAAAAATCGTTTTTACAAAGCGATCACGCGTTGTGACATAAAAAGTGAAAGAATTTCTCCTCCGCTCGATTAGCTGTACTGCAATGTACACTTAGCCACACCTGACACGCACACAACACATATCGCATCATTTCTCATTGCGATTGCGAGTATCTCATATTACATGCGATATGTCAGGATACTTTGCCATCGCGATGCGACTCAGTTACGGATGCTTTATAACGAAATTTCCAAGAAAATAGTTTTCTTTCATCTGCACGTGAACTCTACACAAGTGCCGGAAACGTGAGAGCATGAGTGAGATTTTTCTACGGATGGAAGTGGGACCTGTGAACCCGGCTCTGTTGCCCGCTCTGGTCCTTACGGTGGCAGTCGTGTCATTGACATTGAGTTCGCAATTGTTTCATTCCTCTGGATTCTTCTTCTTCTTCGCAGAATACGCTACGGTGGGCTACATGGCGAAGAGGATTCAGATGCGAAAGAATCGATTCCAAAAGATAGCTGAGAGCATGAAGGCCGCGAGCGAAAACCCGGGACCGCCGCGCGTGCCTGGCGATCACGGGGAACACGCGCCTAAGCAAACTGTGAGTAGTGTCGACGAGAGCATCTCGTCGTCCATGAGTTTCTCTGTTTTCCATGCAGAATATATATATATATATGATTTTGTTTCACTACGTTTTCACTCAACCAGAGAGGAGATCCAGACTACTCCCATGAACGATTCATATATGTACACGCTTTCTTATAGCAAGCAAACGAATCGGCTCTGTATCGATACGTCGGATGCCGATTCTAGTTGAATTTTTACATTTTATGCATTATTTATTAGAAAACTCACATGTTATGATTTTACGGCTTTTTTTACAGGCGCGTTGTACCATCGACTACGTATCTCTATTATTTACTTCTATGTCAAAAAAGTGCAAATTTCTTACGTTAAAATGCATTTTTAAAACACTTTACGTTAAAATACCTTTTCAACAATGTGATGATGATTGAATAGTGATTGTGGGTGTTTATATTTGCGCTATAAAAATGTGATATATTACCGGCTTTCAATGATCTGCCGTAAAAACCTATTACAGGCTAATCAAGCTCTTCTTGTCATAAAAATAGGCTCAACAGGACGAAGCCAGACATTATTATATCTCGAACCAACTCATGCACACTGATGCACGTAGCGCATCGCGCAGTGTAAATATGCCTTTCCTTTTAAATAAACAAAAAATCCAGAAGCTGCAGGCTTGACCCATGAAAGGTCAAAAGCTAAAAGTCTCTGGCGAAATGAATCTCTATTCGGCCGCGCAACGCACCGGACAGCGTGCTTCCACGGACATGATGCACTATAAATTTTCTTTTAATCTTGGATATTGTAGACCGAGAAATGGAAAATATTCCAAAGTCGAGAAAGAGAGAGGGAAAGAGAGAGAATAATAATATAAGAGAGCAGAACGGTCGAGAGTAGGATAAATAAAACAAAATTAAAAAAAAAAAAACAAAAAGAAAAATAAACGAGTGACGGACGCTTGCAATACGTCAGCGGAAGAGACATTTTAATAAATTATAACTAAAAAGTTTATTTTTGTAATTCAGTATAAAAAATATTAGACGTCAATACTTGGATAATTATATTTATATCTTTACATTACTTTACAAATAAATATAGCTTTAACATACAAAGATGTTTTTTCGGATTTGAACCGCGTTAGTGTCATTTTTATACCGACGTTTCGTGAACATTACAGCTCACTTCATCAGGGTTTGCCTGATACAGTATCAGGCTGCTCTTCAAACCCTGATGAAGTGAGCTGTAATGTTCACGAAACGTCGGTATAAATATGACACTAACGCGGTTCAAACCCGAAAAAACATCTTTGTATGTTAATACTACACACCGCGAAAGCATCAAATATCAAATATAGCTTTAATTATTATTGTTACTTTCAAATGGGCACTTTGTCTTTCTTTCTCTCTTGGAGATATAACTAATAAAACTATTATAACTCTATTGTATCACATCTGATATGACCACTATTGTGCTGTTGTGTGTAACTTTTAATGTATCTACTTAATATTACCTACTTATCTAACTATATATCTATTTATCTACTGTACTATGTAACTACTATATTTTTGCCATACTTTTATATATTTATTTATCATGAATTTAAAAAGAAAAAAAACACACGTCGCGGTAGCGACATGAAGCAGGTGAGTGTTTTCGAAAAACCAATCGTCTCATAAAACGCACATAAAGTCGGACATCACGTCGTGTTGAATAAACGTACTGCCCGATCCTCGGTGTCGCATGCCAATCTGACAAAACATAGGGGTAAACCTCAGAGAGGAACACCCCACAGCGAACTGCTGTGTCTCTTGTAAGTGGTCCCGTGTTGTCCAGGAGGTGCGGTTCAAGGTGCACGACCCGAAGGCACACAGCAAAGGTGGGACACTTGAGAACACAATAAACGGTCGCGCCGATGAAGAAGCGGCGGGCGCGCCGCAACATATTATTCATCCTGGCAAAGACATCACCAAGCTCTACGGTATGAGTAGACCATGTACGCACATTTATAACACTATTTAATCCCCCGCCTGGCAAGCTATCAAACAATATTCGGTTCTTAGCTTGGCAGGCTGTCTATTTCAACGAGCTTCTGAACGGGACACAATAAGCGTCACTATTACGGCTTTAACCGTCAGTGAGCTCGGAAAGCTTACGGCGTGGTATCATCACCTTGACGAAGACTCGCGACAAGGTCGTCGATTATATACAACACCGTATGAGTATTTTGCACTTTGCAAGGATACACAATACATTCACAGCACTCGCGATGATACCACGTGCCTGCGACTGTTGTACTTATATATAAATATAGATCTTTGCCGCTTGAAAAACACCGAAAATCGCTTGTCACTCATGATTATACCATCAAAAAAGCTTCTTGCATCGAAAGATTATTTATATGATTTATTTTCCAAGCGTTAACAATGCACTTTACTCTTAGACGCTTCTTTGAACATTTTGACAAAATAACACCGCGCCTACTCGGAAGCTCACTGAAATATGCAATTATTTCCCTCTACATTCCGCGTGTCGCGACTATTCTAACATTGTTTTGACGTTTTCCAAAACAGGCATCACGCCGTCGGACATCGACAAGTATTCTCGCATCGTGTTCCCGGTGTGCTTCGTATGTTTCAACCTGATGTACTGGATCATTTACCTTCACATCAGCGATGTAGTCGCGGACGATCTCGTGTTCCTCGAAGAGGCCAAGTAAACGGGCAGCGTCGTCGGCTCCGAAGCAAGAAGGACGCGGAGAGAACAAAAGTGCTCGCAGAGCAGAGCATTCGCACGAGGAATATAAAGCGAGAATTGATCTGCATGCACAAAAGCGAAAAACGGTTCGAGAAGAAGAATCGAGGTAACACGCTCAATGAATTACTCGAGACGGAAGGAGTAAAAGCGAACGACAAACGAGACAGCCGCGCCAGCTCCGGGAAAAGTGTGCATTCGAAACGCACGAACGCGCTGTTAGATCCATCGAGAGAAAGAGGGAGGGAAAGAGAGATAGAGAGAGAGAGAGAGAGAGAGAGAGAGAGAGAGAGAAAGAGAGAATACGGTAACCACTTCTCTCTTCATGGTTAAGCACAAATGGAGCCGCAAAATATATACAGCCTTATAAATCTGAGAGTAAAATTACTGCGCAATCATTGGAAATAATAATAGAGCAGACGCGGCTGACCAACATACGTTCTAATTAAACCCCATTGCGTGACTATCGGCTAAGAGGAAAACACTTGTTCAGAAGTTCAATCGGCGATCGGATTTGCGTAAGTCTCGATTATGTTGTTCTCTACGAAGCGTCTTCGTTAAAGACTTGGTACATATATATGAGCATTGTGTGACGCGTGATAGATAGAAATATATATCGCAAAGAAAACGGACAGGAGCTCAATCTCAAATACGAAAATCCACAAGCATATATACATTTAAAAACACATTGCCAGTCTAGTTACCTCCTCTAGATCTTAAACAGAGAAAGAAATACCTTGGATATAAACACTTGTCAATTTAGCCACCATTATATAGTTAACTAATGCTAAGAATAATGTACCGCGTGAGACGAAACAAGTACGCAGCGACGATTCAATTCAAGAGCGGTGAAAAAAAGAAAAAAGTAAATAAGATTATCGACGTTTATATCGAGAGCGAGAGGACGAATCGTCGCTCTAACACTGTCGATAGACATAGCATTCAAGTGCGAACGAAAGAAACGTAGCGGAAATTGCGTGGCAGCATATGTGTATGTATACGCATGCATGCGAATGAGCGAGAGAATAAAGCGAATGATCGCGAGCAAAATTAGTTAATATGTGTGAGAACGCGCGCGCAAGAAAAACGAAGAACCAAAGGAGATGGACCGGGAGAAAATTCCAAACGAAGATAAATGTTATATACATGTCGGAGACTAGTATGATTTATTATTTAAGTGTAAGTACATATACATTAACTCATGAGCGCATGCGTACGCAACTGTGTTTAAGTATCGCGCGCATATCTTATATTAGACACGTGCGTGCACACGTGCGTACAAAGAACGTTAACAGACGTTGAGCGGCTACGCAACATCCAGATGGAGGTGAAAACAAGATAAAAGATATAAAGTACAGAAGAAAGAAAACACAAGGATGCAACGAAAGCTACTTCTCGGTTCTGTGTACGAAACAGAGCAGCGTCTCATCATATTCGCGTTTGTTTGAATTACGGCCAAGTACAACTCACATCGCTTTCTCTCTTTCTCTTTCTCTTTCTCTCTCTTTTTCTCTCTCTCTCTCTCTCTCTCTCTCTTTCTCTTATTTTTTTTATGTAGCGTGTTTATTTTTTATAGTGTTTTTTCACAAATATTTTTTCAACGTAGAGCATCGCCGCTATTAATGCAATCGAGCAATTCTCGTCTCGGATCGTTTCTGTGTACGTGCGTGTGCACGTGGCTCAATCTGGAATACTCTTAATTCATAGTCGCGACTATTAACGTAGGGAAACTCCTGGGACATAATAGGCGAATGTATAAATCGAAACGTAAATACTACCATAATCGACTCAAATATCTGATTAAATGATGCACCAAGGCGGAAAACCGATTTGACACTTGGTTCGAGATATTTTAAAAATAAAATAAAGTTTTTTCCTGAAGAGATCAACAATTATTACGCATAACTTATTATAGTATTTATAAATGTGTTGCAATTGAAACACACACATATATGAACATTTTGAAATTACTTATAATTATAAAAGACAAAGACACAACCGTGATTATTGTATCTTGTTTTCTTTCGGAATGTTTGTCTAAGAAGTTTCAGGAAATACATTATGTTTTGTTGTTTAAGCACCGTTTTGTCAATTACCGTTGATTACACAATGTTCTACTTCTTTCTTTTAGATGCGCGTTCGCTTCTCGCGCAGTACCTAATCTATTACGGATCATCAATCACTTTACAAAAAGTTTTCAAAACTTACTACTTCTTTTCTTCGCGCATTCCCCCTACACAAGTTGTTTCAATAGTTAAACATCCCCTTTCTCTCTTTTTCGCAACATAATTAATTTTTTCTTAGAAAATATTAAACTAAATATTCTACGCATGTATTTTGTTTTAATTATCGTTATTACACATCTTTCGATGTGACTCAACTTTTCGAAAGAGATAAGTTTTTATTAACTAACTAGTTTAAACCAACTTTTCGAATTAATGAAAAATAAGCTTCATCACTTACCTTTTATTTTTTGTGTGTCGACATAAATCTAAACTTCTTGTAAAACGCCTGCTAAAAATTAAAAATAATTAAGCATCGTTTCTTGTGTCAATTTTCTGATACTCGTAACTCAGGGAAAACATGTGAGAAACTTGTGAAACAGTACATATATACACAAACTCCCTTTTTGTTTGGCCTTCTATCTTGCCCTTCTGACTCGGCGGCTGACTACAAGCTGGGTCGTGGAAGCTTGCCATTCAGGATATCGACCAGCTGACACGCCCATCCCTACCTTCCGACTCTTCGCCATCATTTCTACGTTGTCGCTCTCATCTTCTCTCTATTCTATTTTTTGATCTTCTAATTCTATTTTGTGATCACCGAACATAGCCGTCCGTTTAACAAATCAAATTAATAAGAAGCGCCTTATATTTTGTTAGTACTTTTAGCAAGAAAAATTTTTTCTCAAAATGGCTAATTCTCCAAATCTGCCTTGGTGCATTTACTCGCTTCAGATATCCACGAGAAATGAACGAGGAACGGTCATCAATTGCGAGCATCGCGTTCGAGTGGTACAAACGCACATAATAGTATGGTTTTCGTTATTAAATAACTTCAATCATTATATATATATTAAGAATTACCATAATTTACAATTATGACTTTATTCTTAACGATGTTTTCATATTTAATAACCGCGTGTAAGAATTGTAAAGATCGAAATAAGAAAATGTATGAACAACAACAGACATCAAAAGTACGCAAAAGTTATATTATTTTTGTTTATATCGATGTGCAGGCTTTAAATGCAAAAATACTTACGTTACAATTAAATATAGTTTCCTAATAACGAGATTCCAGCTTTCTTTGTTTCGTTGAACATTGACGCACTTAAATATTTTCACATATTTGCAAGAATTTAGCGACAACGATTGTTCACTACGCAATTCAACCATCGTAATTTTTGTTTGCACAATAACTTCTCGGTGGCGATTTAAAACTCCGGCTTTTCCGAGAGCGCTCGACGTTCGCGGTTTTTTTGCAATTGCGGTCACGCGACAATGCAAATAATGATTCGCGCCAGTTGTCGTGCATGAGGAAGACGTAAATCGCGTGTCCAACCCTCGTTCGTTTCTTTCTTCGACTGCGCTCGGCTACATAATATATAAGTATTGATACACTCTTCCACTCGTCCGCCTCAACTGGAAGCATTATATGCAATTTATATAAAACTACATTCGTTATCTATTCGGAATTTTTATTATATACAGAAAGAGAAAGATAAAGAAGAGAAGGAGGAAGAGAGAGGATATGACTTGTTTTATTATGTGATATATTCTATGGTAGTTTTATGCATTTATTCGACTCTATGATATCAGGAGCCTATTGTTTACGCTAAATCCTTAAGCAAGACACACATTAAGAAAATTGGCGTGTCCACGAGCAAAGAAAAAACCTCTTTCTTAAGTAGAAAGTGGTCAAATATAAAAGTGCAAAATAACATGCTTAAATAACGTAAGAATCACTAATGAAGTTGCGTTCGGAAACACTATTCGTGCACAGGAGCGTTATTCTATCTTTGTTTTATATCTAATGAGTGATAAGTCTACATGCAGCTTGAATTAAAATAATTAACGATAAAAAGATGAAAAGATACACGTACTTGATACGATGCAACACATAATGACGTTTTAAAATTGTATAATATAATTGAATAAATAATTTTCAATCTTCGCGCTTAAATAGTGAGTCTTTCGAAATTTGATTTCGTTTGTTTGCGTTAATTAACTATTCGATATATGATTATCCTTATATTGGATATTTATAAACTGTAAAATGAAACACTTACAATGTAAAGATGTAATCGTAAAAGATGTATGTGATGCATCGTAGAGAAGATGCGCCAATTTGTTGGAAAAAGAAAAATATGTGTGACAACACCTGATCATGATTATTATACTGAGTCTAATTGAAATTATATTATTATATCTTTATCATTATCTTTGTTATCGTTAACATTATATATAATCGTTTTAAAGCGACATTATGATAATCATTATCCTCTGGCAGGATAAAAATAATATACCTTGCGTTATTGGCGGGCATTTAATCGCGTATAACCATGTACACATTACCAAATAAAGTAAATCGTTATATATATATATATATATATAAAATGCAAAAACAGCACCACCGATGTGCGGGAATCACGGAATTAATGAAAAAGACGAAAAAAGAGAAACAAAGCTATTACTATTATATAAATCGATCATCTTGTAAATACGAGTTTTATACAGAGCATTGTATTCGTTAAAGAGAGAGTACTTATTGCAAAATAATATATCTATATATGTATATATATATATATATATATACATTTATATATATGTATATATAATATATATAATATATATGTATATATATATATGTAATACATACACACATATACACATTATATATACTCAAATGTAGTGCACACGGAAAAACATGTGACTGTTCGCACATATTTAGATAAATCACTTTTAAAGTATAAGGACAAAAAAAAGAAAAAGTAGACTAGAAGAACGTCGAGGTTCAAAAAGTCAAAGTGCGTACGTTTATTTGTTTTATTCGTCCGTTCTTTCGTTCATTCGTCCATTCGTTCGTTCGTTCGTGTCTTGCATTAAAGGCAAGCGAAAATAAATTGCCTTGAAATTGACTGTTCTTACATGATCATCTATTTGCGAAAAAAAAATTCGAAATAATTTTTTTTCGCGTAAACGCCAACCGGACAATGAGAATCACAAAAAGCCGATTTATACGCTTGTAGAAAAACTTTTACATTATGCATATAAATAAAAAAAAAACAAAAAAAAAAGAAGTTTACGATATGCGCGCAAAATCACTCCTCAATCGACTTTTGCGTATTTGATATTTTCGCAATCACGTCTCATCTGCGTTATGTGAACGAAAAACTTGCTCAAACCATAGCTATCGACAATTGTACATGGATTAATAAGTAATTTGTTTGATTTTTATATGTAGAACAAAATGTATGTAATGTATATGTCTGATATTAAATGTGTATAAAGATGTACAAAAAGAGATATATACAATCGAGAAGAAAGATTTCATAAATTCAGAGCACTTCTCTAAACGAACGTTATTTAGATTATATCTTGTTTCATGAACAATTAATGATCGTGGCAAAATTATATTGTATAATATACGACATTATAAAGAAATGTTTGTTGTTCAATCATCGTTACTATCAACGGGAAAAAAAATTCTTCTGGATAATGTATGTAATATGCCAACATATAGGTATATGTACAATACAACAACAGTTCAAATTGCGTTGTTGCACAAAACTGCCAACTTCAAATTGCAATATGCGTTTTTTAGTTATTATTATCATGCAGATGCGACAGAGAAAAGAGGTTGGATTGATAAGAGACTGCGTATTTTAAACTAACAACACGAGAAGTAGTTAAATGCGACAATTTATCTTTGATTGTGTCAATTGATTAACACGCAGCGAAAATTTTGTACAATTCGACGGTCATATTAGATTATTAAATATGAAACTTGACAAATATTGTACATGTATGTACATATGTATGTATTTATCAAGTTTTATACTTAACGACTCAATACACAAGATGATTTATCAATAATATAAACAAGAATAGAGAATCGTGATACGTTTGATAAATTTCAATCGCATGTGCAATTCCGTTATATTTCTGTAGTAAATTGCGTGAATTCAACAGAGTAATTTTTTTAATTTATTCAAAAAAAGCACATAAAAGTCACAAAATGTTCTAAATTATATGATTGACATGTACTCAACGAGAATATGTAAATATTATATTTTTATGACAAGCCACGGTGCGTTCTCTGTACAAGTAAAACGATTTCTTTAATATAGATGTATGTTTATATGGTTTATTTATTACGCCGAAACGTTTGCGTAATCTTGAAGAATATTTATAAGTAAATATACTTTCAACTTAACTTTTACAGAGGAAGTAAACTATTGAAGTTGAGCACTTTACGATTGCCGATATGAAATCTCAATCGAGCGCAGATTTGAAAAAACGGTGCAGAGAAACGTAATTCGTGCCAGTTGTATCCATTTTCTCTCATGTTCGCGTTCAAAGATAGTTAGGAATTTCGAGACAAATGATCGATTTGGATTTAATTAAAACCGTAATTTTCCAGAAGTTGTTGCGGAATCGGGATTGTTTTACTTCTCCGAAGAGAATTATTCACGTGGGTCTTTCTTGTTCGATGTGCTCGAGATCACTTCGTAAACTATCTCGATCAATTGCAATTATTCGTAATTCCTTCGTAAACCTGTAACAAAAGAAAAAATACTATTAAACGTGAAAATGTAGAAATACTTATAAACGAGAATAAACAAACGCGAACGAAACTTTGAATGAAAGAACGAAGACGAAAATGTTGGCGCGAGTGTTGGCGCGAGTTATCTCGACGAGAGTACCAAATTCTAAAATGTATTTACAAACATACGTTATAAACTGCATTATACTTTAGAAACGTATTCTACGATCGTAAACTGATAAAGAGGGACAATTGTAGATATACACACACACACATACACATGTATTCCAAAACATGCATAGACAAACCACCAAGATATATATTGCAACCACATTTGCACAAATATTCATCACACACACATACATATTACACGCATACACATCACACTAAAAAATTTATTCCTATATATATTATATAGAAAAAGAGATCGAACAATCATCATAACAAAAAGTGATTTTACATACACACAAACACGTATACAAAAAATAATTACTGATATAGATGTACTTATACAGGCACTTGGTAGAACATACGTACACGCGTACCGAGTATATCTATATTACAACTTTCTACTCGGCTACGATGCCGATTGTGCGATTTAGAAAAAAAAACAAGAGTGAGAGAGTGAGAATGTGTGTTTGCGCGCGTGCGTGCGTGTATATGTGAAAGAGACAGAGAGCGAATAGATTAACAAAAGAATCAATGTAAAGATGGGGGAGAAAATATGGTAAAAACGCTTGTTCGATGCGCGATAGTGAATATACAAGTAATAAGCTCTAGACATAGACTAGATTCGGGAAAAAAAAACCGCGAATGTTTGTTGTTAATCGAGAATGTATCCATTCACATGAAAGAATTTCGCGTGTCTACCTATATACATGCATGGAAGTATGTGTGTGAAAATCTTTGTGATCTGTATCTCATTGCGGAAGTTCCTGTTCCTCGAGACGATGACAAAAAAAACCAAACAAACAAAAAACAGGAGGATTGCGCGGAAGAGGATAATGATGGATGACAAACTTGTCGACATTTTAGTAAATATTATTCGATTCGCGCGGGATATGCTTGCCGGATCTGCCCGAGGGATGCTGACTTTTTCTATTTTCAAGCTATAATATATACGGGCCAAACTGATAAGATTAGATACACCTGTATATACTTGATGTTTTTACTCTCTGTCGTGAAAGAAAATACAATTTTTATTTCACTCATCCGGATTCAAATAAAATGAGATCAGTAAAAAACAATTAAAGAGAAGTATATTTAGGTTTAGAATAAAAACGCTTTTTATATGTATCAATGAAAAAATCTCGCTAAGCCGAAACAATAATTTTTTTTATTCAAGAACTTGCTTTTCCGGAAAATAAGGAAATATAACAGAAGAGCAAACGTTATATCTCGATATAGACAAACATTTGTCTTAAAAGAGGAAAAGACATTTTAAAAAGCATAAAACTTTCGAGTGTGTGCATTAGTTTGAGCTAAGAAAAACTTTGCGAACGTGCGCGCAAGTGAAAAAAGTCATCTGCTTTCGAGAGAGAGAAAAGGAAAGAAAGTAGGTCAGATCCCGGCAGGCGTTCTTATTTACGATTAGCTGCGCGCTATTAAGGCCATTTTTTGTAATAACCGAATAAAATGCATGGTCGATGATGACGTAAGAATACTTATTCTTTACGATCGAATCAATTCAACCTCTTAGGATTTACTCGAAAACTCACAACGGACCAGAATCTCTCATCTCGGAATGTGCTGCTGTATATCTTTTGGCTGGAAGTCTGCGTGAGAGTTTGTCGACTCTCGAGAGTTACTCTCGATAAAAATAAAAAAATAGAAATATAACAACTGATTGCAAACTTTTCTTCTCTCTCTTTCTCTCTCTCTCTCTCTCTCTCTCTCTTTCTCTCTCTCTCTCTAATACAATTGATGATAAAGTCAAATTAATTCCAAGAGTTTGATATTGTTGCTATCGCAAAACTATCGAGAGCCACTATCGAGAATAAAACTCTCAATGGAAAATACGTAGACCAAGTACGTGTGCCAAGTTTACAGGCCTCCTATGTAGAATTGCACCGTAGTCTTTTTACGAGCGATAGCGATTTATTTGGTCGACTTTTCAAATCGTTGAGTGTTTCTAACGCCGAAATTTAAGGCGCTACATTTAAAACAAACGGGATTCGCGATGTATAAATAAAACGAAAATCGAAGGGGCGAGTGAGAGTGAGGGCACGAGGGAAAGACGAGGGAGTGCAAATGCGAACATGTATCTTTTATATTCAATGCATTATCGGTTGTGTCTTCAAAGTCCTCGCGTTATAATATATACGAAATATAATTGAACCGTTTTACGCCGACTGACTGGGGAAACGAAGTCACTTTTTATGAGGGAAAAGCCGGCGCGCGTGGAACGCGCATGATTGTTTTAACCGAGGATTGGATTTATCAGAGCGACTGACAAGCAAGAACAAAAGGCGGACACGGAAAACGAAAATGCGGAGATTTGCAACGAGGGCTCTCCTAGTTACTTGCTCAGTGAAATAATTCTAAATAAACCGTTCACTTAAGGGAACGAAAGTCTAGATAACGCGCATAACTAATGTATAAAAATAACTCTACGTACAAATAAGTAAGATGGTGTGCATGCCTTCGTAAGTTGTTCACACAATTAAAAAAAAACTTTTATTTTGATCAAGAACGAGAAATTAAAAACAAAAGCATATACGCATGAACTTTAATTTCTACACGAATATATATTGCTAATACGAGAGAAACAATTTTAGGCGAAGGGATATCGATCCGCATTAATCCGACAAACATCACATGCTTACAAACGTAGTCGCAGTCTTCGCCGCTATAGCAAAAGCAACTGTGCCTGCGATTGTACGCATTTTTCAAAGAACGCGGTTTCTACTGATAAGCATGTAACATCCAATCGATATAATTCGCCTAAAAGAAGTGTTATGATCAAATGTCGATCGTTGATTTTGAACAATTTGAAAGAACAAGTTTCAATTACGCAAACTGCGATCTCAACGATTTCCCTT